GTCTTAGTATAATCACATAAAAAATGTAAGTATTAGCATAATCACTTTAAAAAATGTAAGTCTTAGTATAATCACTTTAAAAAATAGTAAGTATCAGTATAATCACTTTAAAAAGTAGTAAGTATCAGTATAATCACTTTAAAAAATGTAAGTATCAGCATAATCACTTTAAAAGATGTAAGTCTTTGTATAATCACTTTAAAAAAATGTAAGTATTAGTATAATCACTTTAAAAAATGTAAGTCTTAGTATAATCACATAAAAAATGTAAGTATCAGTATAATCATTTTAAAAATGTAAGTATCGCTATAATCACTTTAAAAAATGTAAGTCTTAGTATAATCACTTTAAAAAATGTAAGTCTTAGTATAATCACTTTAAAAAATGTAAGTATTAGTATAATCACTTTAAAAAATGTAAGTATCAGTATAATCACTTTAAAAAATGTAAGTCTTAGTATAATCACTTTAAAAAATGTAAGTCTTAGTATAATCACATAAAAAATGTAAGTCTTAGTATAATCATTTTAAAAAATGTAAGTATTGGTATAATCATTTTAAAAAATGTAAGTATCAGCATAATCACTTTAAAAAATGTAAGTATCAGTATAATCACTTTAAAAAATGAAGTCTTAGTATAATCATTTTGAAAAATGTAAATATCAGTATAATCACTTTAAAAAATGTAAGTCTTAGTATAATCACTATAAAAAATGTAAGTATCAGTATAATCACTTTAAAAATGTAAGTATCAGTATAATCACTTTAAAAAATCTAAATATCAGTATAATCACTTTAAAAAATCTAAATATCAGTATAATCACTTTAAAAAATGTAAGTATCAGTGTAATCACTTTAAAAAATGTAAGTATTAGTATAATTGCTTAAAAAATGTAAGTCTTAGTATAATCACTTAAAAATGTAAGTATCAGTATAATCATATTAAAAAATGTAAGTATTAGTATAATCACTTTAAAAAATGTAAGTATTAGTATAGTTTAAAAAATGTAAGTATTAGTATAATCACTTTAAAAAATGTAAGTATCAGTATAATCACTTAAAAAATGTAAGTATCAGTATAATCATTTTAAAAAATGTAAGTATTAGTATAATCACTTAAAAAATGTAAGTATTAGTATAGTTTAAAAAATGTAAGTATTAGTATAATCACTTTAAAAAATGTAAATATCAGTATAATCACTTTAAAAAATGTAATTATTAGTATAATCGCTTAAAAATGTTAGTATTAGTATAATGATTTTAAGAAATGTAAGTCTTAGTATAGTCACTTATAAAATGTAAGTATTACTATAATCGCTTAAAAAAATTTAAGTATTAGTATAATCGCTTAATACTCTTTTATTGGAGATGTGTGGAACTGTGCAGCTTGGAAATATTGTGTGTTATTGAACAGTAAGTTCATATTGGAGATGTGTGGAACTGTGCAGCTTGGAAATATTGTGTTATAAAACAGTAAGTTCATATTGGAGATGTGTGGATCTATTTAGCTTGGAAATATTGTGAGCTGGTAGTCTTTATTTTGTTTGGAGTAGTTTATTAATTGAAAGTACAGTTTACAATAAAATAAAAAGAAAACGAGAAAGAAAGAAACAAAAGCTATCCTTGAAAGCATATGTTCGTTGTGTTTATAGGTTAAGACTTGAACCTGATCTGAAGAAAAGTAAAATCTCAATGGGTCAGTTACATTCAGAATCATCCAAAAGAGGAGAAGGAGACACTAGTGGAAGAGCAGTTTCCAAAGATAGGCAGCGTAATCCTAGTGGAGAGAAAACTTCTTTGCTTGAGAATGAGTTTGAATTTTCATCAGAAGAAATACAGATGGTTAGTTTGTTTTTTCTATTGAAGGATTCTTCATACAGAGAAGTAATATTATTATATGTGGCCTCCTATTGCACCTGAAAACCTATAAACCTGACTTATGAAAACCTATAAAAAACCAACCTGATCCATATATGTATTTATAATTATGTTTTCAAAATATTAAATAAAAAGGACTTTGTATATATGGATAAAATTTGGTACTATAACACTAAACTAAACATGTAGCAAAAGCCTGATAATTGGTTAGTATTCTTTTGAAAAATGTAATAAACTTATTTTAGTCCTAATAATGTAATTTTATAAGTGGCTCAGGCTGGAAAATTCAGTGTTTGTAAAAGTAATTAGGTAGAAAACGTGTAAAAACCTATATTTTCCTGCCTGGTTTTCTTAAACATTATTATGTAAAAAATAAGCATTCTGAACAAACACTTTGTTATCTACATGTGTACTTTAGTGTAGGATAAACATTCTGAACTAACACTTTGTTATCTACATGTGTACTTTAGTGTAGGATAAACATTCTGAACACACCAAAGTACACATGTAGATAACAAAGTGTTTAGGATAAACATTCTGAACAAACACTTTGTTATCTACATGTGTACTTTAGTGTAGGATAAACATTCTGAACTAACACTTTGTTATCTACATGTGTACTTTAGTGTAGATAGTGTAGGATAATTTGTGCTTTCATCTTTTGTCATTCTTTACATTTTCTGAAATACAATATCTCTACCCTGTTTGGGTTACAATTGTTGTATGAATGGATAAAGAGAATGGAACACTGATCTCCCTATTTTGTATGAAATGTGTTGGTGGCCATATTTTCAGTTTCTTGTATCATATTATTGAAGTTAACTTTTCAGTTTTTAGCATAATTTTTAACTGAAATTATAATTGCTGTTTTTCTCTCAGTTTTGTTATTTGTATAGTTTATATTATGTACTGTTTCTTTTTTTCGAGTTTTCTAACAATATAATACATTCTTAGCATAAACCATAGTTTTGTGTTTTTCTCATGAGTAAGTAGTTAAGTAATTTCTTTAGCTTGAACAAGAAAATGATCAGATCTATGAAGAGATGAACAGCCTCGTAGATGAAGTCAGGTAAGACAAAGGTTAAATAGCTTGATGTGTTATATAAATCAGTGATTCCTAACCTATCTCCAACTGAGAACTAGTTAGTTTTGATCTCATATTTCACGGACTGCTTTATACAATATTAACTTTTTCAAAACAACAACATACTTCAGTAACTAACTGTATTTTAAAACACTTTCAATCATCTTTCAAACCAGTTGAAATTTCCCTGTAGATTGGTGGCTGGGAACCCTAATATAGACAACAACAAAAATTTGAATTACCTGCAAATCTTGTTATTAGTTGTATAGATATTATTAGTTGTATCGATATTATTAGCTGTTTAGATATTATTAGTTGTATAGATATTATTAGGTGTTTAGATATTATTAGTTGTATAGATATTATTAGCTGTTTAGATATTGTTGCGTCAGCGAGGTCACGTGACTAGTATCACGCCACCTCTTTCTAGAAATATCCTGTTCCTTCAAGAATGCCCTAGCATTTACTAGATATGTGTTAGTCTTGTATTAATAAGACGTTCACAATGTGACGGGATAACAGAGGTAATGAGTAATTAAACTGCAGTCAGAGAGAATATTGTTAAGCACGTGAGAAGTTCGTTGAGAATTATAGCATTTGTTACAGAGCGACTGTTGAAATTAAGTGTATCGTAAAGTTGTAATTGGAAAGAATAAACCAGTTTTATTTAAGAAAGGACTTGTGTCGCTAAAGTTTCGTCGGAACGAATTTACGGAAAATTAACTAACGACTGGAGGCGTAACAGATTGGTATCAGAGAGTGGGATAAAAAAAATGGAAACGAGAAGCGGCAAATCAAACTACAGCATAGCAGACTTGATGGCAGCAATACAAGAGCAGCAAAAGAAACAAGAAGAACGAGAAAATAAACAAGAAAAGAAACAAGAAGAGGAGAGATTACAACAGTTGTTGGAGGAAAAAGAAAAGAAACAAGAAGAAAGATTACAGAAGTGGCAAGAAAACCTACAATAATGGCAGCTCGAACAGCAAAATAAACAAGAGAGACTACAGCAGTGGTTGGAGGAGCAAGAAAATAAACAAGAAGAGAAATTACAGCAGTTGTTAGAGGAGAAAGAAAATAAACAAGAAGAGAAATTACAGCGGTTGTTAGAGGAGAAAGAAAATAAACAAGAAGAACGAGAAAAGAAACAAGAAGAGAGACTACAGCAGTGGCAACTGGAACAAGAAAGGAAACAAAAAGCACAAACGGAAAACATTAGTAAATTTAAAAGCGAATTAGATACGTTAAAGGACGATTTATTGTCTTTTACACAAGGAGGATACATAAATCATCGACTTAACGAGCCCCAGACAATGACAAGCCCCTTCCAGACCCTGCAGCTAAACTCTAATGCAGACATATTCAGTCTCGTTAGAAGTCACATCCCAGATATGAATGTCAGTAATAGGAGTGATTCAGTAAGAAGGAAGCCACAGGAATACGATGGGAAAGCACCGTGGGAAGCATATAGAGCACAATTTGAGCTACTGGCAGAAAGGAATGGATGGACAGAGGAGCAGAAAGCAGTATATCTGGCAACGAGCTTGAAGGGACAACCACTGGAAATACTTGGACAATTGTCAGCAGACAACAGGCACAACTATAGATAACTGGTAGCAGCTCTA